TGGTGAAGCCTCATCTGTACTAAAAATACAAAAATTAGCTGGGTGTGGGGGGGCATGCACCTGTTGTCCCAGCTACTTGGGAGGCTGAGGCAAGAGAATCACTTGAACCCGGGAGGCAGAGGTGGCGCCACTGCACTTCAGCCTGGGTGACAGAGTGACACTCTCTGTCAAAAAAAAAAAAAAAGTCAGCTGTGGAAACAAATGAGTAAATGCAACATCCTTTAGATAAAAATATGTGTCAGTATCAGACAATATTTGATACCCGGTAAAGAAAACACTCCAAACAAGTTAATTCAAATATAGAAAGTAGTGATACAATGAATGATGTATCTGTGCCATAAACAGTATCATGTGCTTTTTGGACAACCCTGTTAAAATATGCCTTCTTGGGAGGTAAAGTTTCTTTTCCCAACTACTTAGCAGATTCTAAGGGAGCAAGGTGCCCGATTGATTAATACTGCCTGCCATGGACACTATGGATGAGAGTGTGTTTGATGAGAAAGAGTGAGAAGACTACAATACCGAAATGAGAGCTTGATATCAAGGAAAGGTCTTTTTGTAAGCAAATAAATGTTCTGAGATAAGTGGGGAAAGATGGCATTAGACTGAACCTTTTCACCATGTCTTTGTTTGCTTGAGTTATTTATTAACCGCAACTTTCTAGAGTTTTTAACAAAGTGTTATTGATATAGCCTCTGGAAAATGTACGCAGGTATTTCAAGGTATTTCAAATGTATCACAGTTTCTAAGGACATCAAATATCTCTTCAAAGCCTCATGGATTTTTAAAACATGAAATGTTCTTCTTGGAGGATAATAGGCTCCAATGCTCTGGGTTTCTAACCTCCAATTCATTAACAGCAAAGCTGACTTGTGGCAAAAAGTTTTTTTTCCTTGAAAGCAATTTGTGACTACTTTAAGGGAGATAACAGTTTAAATATAAATAAATGACCAGCTCCAGTGGTAAGATTCCAGTTTTCTTGAGGTGTTTGCTTTCCATTTATTGTCCATTTTTCCACCACAACTTCCTCCCCTGAAAACCTACTTTAGGCCTGAACGTGTTTAGAATAACCCCATTAAAATAGTCTTGTCCTTGTATGTTAAAGCTATGTTATTGCCATTTTAAAATATTGCAAAGGGCTAAAGTGGACTTTACCCATATTTAGGGAAATATTTTAGCATTATCAAAATTGTTAGTGTTATTGGCTCTGACTTACAATAATGAAAATAAAATAGCAAGGCCCAAATGGAACTCCTTCCTTCTTCCAGGCATTTCTAGGCCTTTTGAAGTAATCAAAGCAAACGCCTCAGTTCTTATATTTCAAAATCACCTTCCAAATGGATTTGGCTTATTTTATTCTAGTTAGCTTAGCCAGCAGTCCCACGGCATTTGCATTATTTTTAATCCAATGACAGATTGCTTTGTACTTTGGATTTTCAAGAACTGCCATTTATGTTTCATTCATTTTTGTTAGTAGATGATTAGCTTTTTTGAATAAAGACATACAACCTGGAAATTGATCTCTCTCCATGCATGTTGTAAATGTATGAATTCAGAACACACAGTCAAATCCTAATTCTCTTGTTTAATCATATGCCCAGCCTCCACAAATTAACATCCTAAGAAATTTTCTGTCATAGCATCTGCAATGTGTTCCCTACCTATTTTATATTCTTTCCACTTTCGACAATACTATTTTTTGTTTGTTTTTAAAGCAAGTTGTTACTCAATAGCGTTTATTTTATTTCTATTTGACCCCATGAAGTTCATCATTATTCTGAAGGGCAAAAGATTGCTAATTACTTAACTATTCCCTACATAACCAAGGAAGGTTATTTTCTATTCAAGTAAAATACTTGGTGATGATGATGTATCTTAGATTATTAAAAGGATATTAAGATTGATTTTAAAGATCTTATGCTGAGAAACTTTTAGTAAATTTATTGGACTTTTTGACCTGGTGTATGGATTTAATATTTAATTTATATTGTAGTATTTAATCTTTGTAAAAACTAAAGAATATGAAAGGAAGAAATCAAGCATATATTATCTACCTACAGTATGCAGAACACTACCATACATGAAACAATTGGGAAGATCAATATAAGCAAAGCATAATTTTTAAATATTTAGTCCCATAAATACAATTGGCCCTCTGATATATCACCTAGATGTAACACACACACCTCAAACTCAGTATGTCCAAAGTTATACTCAGCATTCACTTAATATCCTTCTTACTTCCACAACCTGTGTTGACAGCATTGATGTCTACCAAGTTGGACTAGATAGAAATTTGAGAATTTTCCTTCCTCATCACTGTTAACCATTAAGTCACCAACAACCTCTTACTAAAGAGAGTTTAGATATCATATATGCAATGAAGTTTCGTTTCCCCTCTACTATCCTTACTAGACTCAAGGTAATTCCCCTATTCCTTTTGTTCCTCTAGCATCTCACATCCTACTCAAACACTATCATACAGTGTTAAAACCTTTAGTTTGTGTCTGTTTTTCTCATTGTACTGTGAGCTCTTGTATTTCAGTGCTTACGTCTATTTGTGTTTCTATACCCAACATTTAAGCACAGTAGTTGGCAAAAAGTATTCAATAGGTGTCTGAAGAAATAACTTGGATGAATAAATGTGTAGGTGGAAAATCAGAGGGATGGACTGGGGGATAAAGAGTGGTAATTCAGCATTGCAAGGGGTGTAGTTCCATTTTCCTTTGAAAGAATGTGATTGACTTCTGCAGTCAAATTCTGTTTCTCCTGAAACTGAACACCTGTTGCAATGTAAGTCCTGTGTGAATGAAGTAGCATACAGCTAAGGGCATAGGCTTTCAGAAATATTTAATTGATAACAAGCTGTACAAGAGTCATTTCAAATACTTGTTATGGTGTTCTTTAGTTCTGATGATGTAAGGAATCAGGCTGCACAAATATCAGTAAGTGGAAGAATCACAGTTCAGATAAGTCTTTGCTCCAGTCTTTCTGTCCATTCAAAACTGAAAACGAGGTGGATATAGGAAACAGGAATCTGTTAGAAGTTGAGTGATATTAAGAGTAGGAATAGAGATGGGGGAAAAAAGTCAATGTCCTATAGAAAGTTCCATAAAACAGCTCTCCTGCCCCTATTTGCTTTTCATGGACTGTAATAGCATAAGATGTGAGAAAACATCTGTTTCATTTTAAAAAGAGTACTTTGATATTTTAAAAGAATTGTAATGATCAGGAGACGTCTATTAATTCCTCTGATTAGAGACAGCCGACACTTATGGGACAGAATAGCGAGAATGGGTGTAGCAATCTTGGTAGATTTTGAGGCCTGAGGATTTATCTGCTCTGCATGGCTCTCAAAAGCAGAATGGAGCAATGGTGAGAGCATGGACTCTGTAGTTAGATGGCCTGGGTTTACATCTTGGCTTCACTAATGTTAGCAGTGTAATCATGGGCAAGCTGTATGCTTCTAAGTGTCAATTGGTCATAATACTATTACCTGTCCCAGGGCTGGTTGTGAGACTGAATGAAATAAATGAAACTCAGGAAACTAGTTCAGAAAATAGCACATGGTCTAATTTGTTGAATGCAGGTTCTTGTTTTTAAACTAGCTGAAAATGAGCAGTTTCTCTGGGGTTAGATACAGGAACTTAATGGAATATCCTACAGGAATATAAAAGGGCCTTAACCAGGAAACGATGGATATGTCTTTCTGCTGAAAAGGCTTGTCACTGTAATTCAGATCAGCTTGAGGAAGAGCTGAGAAGTGGTTGACTTTTGAGGCCATTTTTAAAACTGCCAAGACTGGACCAAGTAAAGGATGATATCACTAATAGAAGTAGCTGAGCCCTGCCTAGTATAAATGTGCTTCAGAATAATGGAGCAAATCCAGACAAATTAGCATAGATCAGATTCCCGGCTCTATTTCCATAAGGGTGCCTCAAGACCAGGAAGCACAAGAAAGGGCTGAGCACTAGGCAGGAACATATTTGAGGCTAGAGGCTCTAGTCAGCAAGGATTTGAGCTATGAAGATACTAAGGATCACAGATTGGGAGAGATGGAGGCACTTAATCAGAGCTAGCCATGATGTTAAAAGGATGTTTCCAGGTTTAGAGGACAGTTTTCCATTCTGTTCCTTAGTAGAAACAAGTTCATTTTGGATAATGGGTAATAACTACAAAACAAGACCTGAGAGATTAAGTGGTCCTTTGGGGGAGCATTGCCCTGTGGTGGGGTTCAGATGTTGAGCTTTGGAGAATCATGGTACTGGTCCTAATCCCTACTTTGCCAATGACCGCGGGGACAAGTTACATTACCTCCCTCAGCTTCAACATCCTTACCTATTAAATGGGGGGGATGATAATAATTCCCACTTCAAAGATTTTTAAAAATTAAAATCACACAATTAAAAGGGCTCAGTCAATACCAGGCATCTAGTAAGTGCTCAATGAATGTTGACTATTACGAGAACTTCACTTAGACATATTCACTTACCCATCTTACTGAAAATGCTGTCATTACACTAAATCACAAAATAGAATGCAATTTTGTTAAATAAGTGCTCCTAAACTTTGAATTTAAAAAATCTTGCCATGCAGCTTTATTGTTTCTAATATCTTTTCTTTAGGAAGTGAATTTTTAGCCAAAACCTGCCAATTGGAAACCAGGATTCTGGTGCCATTTTGGAGAGGTGTAAAGAAATTCTTTTTTAAGTTGAAAAGAATTGTGATTGTGCTGGTAACGATCTAAATCATGAAAGTGGGTCTGTGGCAAAGGGCAAAATATAACCTTTGGGAATTAAACTTTTTAAAAACGTCAAATTTTGTATTAACTTTAAATTGGGCTTATTGTTTGAGGAAATATTTGTTCTAGCTCAGTTGGCTAGATCTCTCACCTCCTTGCTTTACCTTGCTTCAAATTCAAGATCTGCCTTAGAAGGTGGCTTTAATAAAATTCTTGGCTTTATATTTCAAAGCTGTCTCACTCTCAAACAATGTATTAGATTTATTCACAGGATTCCTGCATCAGGCTTGAAAAGCAAAGGGGTTCTGAAGAAGAGACAGGCTCTCGTATTTTTGCTGCAGAATTAAACACCATCTATCTGAAAATGGAATCTGTGGTAAAAATCTGCAAATTTACTTGTAATCCTTTCTCTTCAGATCAACTAAATTCTCCCAAGACTCACCGTTTGGGAGTCATTTAATAATACAATATTATTAATTAATATTATTAATAATACAATATTATTAATATTTCTTGTATTATTAAATGACTCCCAAACGGTGAGTCTTGTTCTACTAATTCTGTTGCCCAAGCAAATCAACCAAAGGTCCCTGTCATATTTTACCCTTTATTTACTCATAGCATACAATAGAATTAATTTTATGGATTAGTGTTACTCATTTTTGAAACCTGACAGACTTACAGAGAACTATCAATTGGCCAAAGGTGCGAGGTGTTTAGTTGCTAAAGAAACCATGCCTGATCTGCTCCTGATTGTCCCAACATTTTGCTGTCTCATCTCTGTCCTTCATTATTTACACTTCTACCTGGGGGAAAGATGGGAAAGACAAAAACGTAAAATTCAATGAGATAACTGGCTATGATATTATCAAACATGTATGTGATGGAAGTCCTGAAATCAATGGATAAAATAAACCATCAAGACAGTCCTTAGGTTTCATTAATCTTGGGGTTCTCAAATTTTGGCAAGTATCAGAACCCCCTGGATGGCTAGCTAAAAATTGCAAGGTTTTGATTAAGATTTGGATTGGGCATGATAAATGCAATTTCTAACAGGTTCCTGGGTGATGCTGATGCTATTGCACGTCAGGGACTAGACTTTGAGAACCGCTGCACTAATTCCTGCTTGCTTCTCTCCTGTTAACATGAATAACCTAGAGTTGGCTTTTCCTTAGCTAGCTTTAAAAATTTAGGCTGTATAAACAGTATGGGTTTAAGCAATTATTTTGGTATATGTGCATTTTGTATGGCATAATAGAAGCGATAAAGTAAGTGGGTTACTCCATCCATTTGCTTGAGTTAATTCACAAAGCAATTATGTAAAACATCTTCCATTGTTTTCCCCAATGGTCAGACGACAGGCTTTTTTGGTGATGGAGAAATTGAACTCATTTGATTGACATACTTTTTAAAACACAGCACAACATTTATTTTGCTTTAATATGGGATATGGAACAAGGATGAGCCAACGGAACAGTATCATCACAGTGGTATTAGATGCAACGTCCGATAACCCCAATGCTTCATGGGACATATATTGTTAATAAGAAATGAACAAAGCTAAAGTGAATGCCAGTCACATTGGTAGGAGAACCACAACACTTACCATCTTTCAGTTTAAACACTTTTTTAGTCACCTATCCCCCAGAAGGCTTAATGGGGCTATAGTCCATGATATACAACCTACCTGCTGGGAACAGCATACTTAGAAACATCTTTGCTTCCTTCAGTTAACTGTGATTGATATATTTTGTTAGTTGGTGTTACGAGAAGTTTGTTGAAAGATCAGAATATGCTCAAACGTACCTGAGGCTGGAATAAGATTTGCGGTCCAGCTGTTAATTATTCTCTTTCACTAGGTCACAGGTAGAATCCTGGTTGAAGGAGAGTCTACAAAATGCAGTTTTGAGCCTCGCCAATCCTGAGCTCTGGATGTAGAAATAGTGTATAGATAAATAGATACATCTCAGGTTTATAGCCCAGCCAGTGGAAGTAACTCTAGGATCTATAGTTCAGGCAGTGAAACAAAAAGAAAGTTGAAGCAGATATTGAATGATCTACTATACAGTATGCATCACACTAGTTAAAAACAGAAAAAAAGGTAACCCAGAAAATTCACAGCCTGAAAGTCTGATGATGGGCCTCTAAATCTGTTCTCAAATTGTGACTTGTCATGGCATTTTTTTAAAGCTATCCTTTCCAACAGGGTGGCAGTGTATATGAGTGGTATCTCAACACTAAAACCTGTGCAAGTTACTGGACCTTTGTACATACCAGCCCTCATTGAAAAGGGGATGATGATAATGCCTATATCATAGGGTTGTTAGGAAAGCTAAATGGGAAAACACAAATTTCTTAGAATAGTATTTGGCACATAGTAAGTAGTCAATAGGTCATTAACACATGAATGGGAGGGTCTCACCGAGTGCTCTCTGAGATCCTGACATCAGTATTGATACTTATATAGAAGGTATTTTCAGGACCTGTTAATAGTTAAATGGATACTCCAAGCTCAACACCTCGTAGAAGCAAGAGCACCCATGGATTGTTCTTCTGCTTAACTGACTGTATTCTCACCAACCCTGAGCTCAAGATGTAGAAATAGCCTATACATAGACAGATAGGCTATCTATCAATTGATCAGGCCATAAAATTGAGATGTAACCCCTGTAACTTTTTATTCTTCAATGTCTGCCAAATGCTTGTCCAACATTTGAGTAATTGTCACCATTGCTAATTAATTAGCCTAATGTAATATACGAGATGTTCCACTTTGGAAAACTTTTGTTACCTTGGAATTCTTACCTGCTAAGATGAGGACTTTGCCATTAGTTGTATTGAGATTTTAGAAACCATAATATGTGATAATTTGCTCCTTTTCAGCAATACTATTTATTTGCACAAGGAAAACATTGTTTTAACTGTGAAAGTACATCACCGTCTTGTGAATTTGGGTCCTCAGTTAACCCACATGTATCTTATTCTTTTCCCACTCTAGCTGGACAGTGCCACATCACTTATCCAGGCTGCTAAAAACCTGATGAATGCTGTTGTCCTCACGGTGAAAGCATCCTATGTGGCCTCAACCAAATACCAGAAGGTCTATGGGACAGCAGCTGTCAACTCACCTGTTGTATCTTGGAAGATGAAGGCTCCAGAGAAGAAGCCCCTTGTGAAGAGAGAAAAGCCTGAAGAATTCCAGACACGAGTTCGACGAGGTTCTCAGAAGAAACACATTTCGCCTGTACAGGCTTTAAGTGAATTCAAAGCAATGGATTCCTTCTAGGACGATAGGCTTTAACAAGAAAGCTTTTTCTTTCTTTTCTTTTCTTTCTTTTTCTTTTTAATTCCATTTTTGTATGCATACCTGCCGGCTTGTATGCCTCTGGCATGGGGAAATTAAGGGAACAGTGTCTGTTTGCATGTGAGATGAGATCAATACTACTGATCCATCTGTAGTCTGGGAAGGAAACAGGAGATTCCTGTACTGAGGTGGCACAGAGCTGTCCTTTGCAACATTCTCATAAAATTGGGCAAAGAGTTCACATTGGTGCAACATTTATGGGAGCGGGAGGGATGGGGAAAATAAACTTAACTCTACAAAAGCAAACTCTAATGCATGCAAGAATCATTAGGTTGGCAGGTATATTCATAAGTGAAAAATCTGGAAGTGTAATGGTAGAACATAAAACTTGTATTGCTTCTGTTTCAGTGCAAAAATGTACTAGCCAATACGCTTAAGTGTGTGGCCCACAAATTGAACAATTTAACCATGAAGTCATATTCGTGATATTATGTCGATTTTTAACTGAGGGGAAATTAACTAGTCCAGCCTAAAATGCTTCTTTTAATCTGCATTCTGTTGTTTTCTCTTCTAGTTGTGCCATTACTAGTGATCATGTTATTTTTTTTTCCCCTTTACTGAAATCAATAAACATCTATTTGAGAGAATTAAAATCCTTCTGGGGGCACTGGAAGCACAATGTGGTGACCAATGTTGCTTTCATTTTTTTTAATTTGAACTATGATTTTGCTAGAAATAGAAGGCCCAGTGGTGGAATATTAGAAGGAATGGAAACTGACAACATGTGAAGGTTAGAGGCAAATACATAGGTGTAGCTTGGAGTGCTGGTATCTAATATGCCATTGTATTCACTAACTCGAAATAAACACATTTAATCTTGACATCTCAAGTATGTTTTCTTTTTTTAAATATGTACTTAATAAAGATTAGAGCATCATCCTGAAAATTCATTAAAAATGCATTTTGTTTTGGTTTTAGAGATGATAAGGGATAGATGATATTTGAATATCTGTCATTTTTAGAGTTCACATATTTATTATTTTGTTTTTTTTTCCATTTGTTTTCATTAACTTTCATACTGCACTTAAAATGACTGACAGTCTTTTTAATAGAAAAGCCAATTAAATTTCAAAATATTTTTTTCATTTTAGCCTTTTTTCCTTTAAGCTAGTAAAACAGGACCTCTGTCTCATTATTAAAAAGTGGCTATGGTTTTTCAAATATGGAATGAGAAATGGGAAAAAGCCCTCTGATAGTCACCTGAATTCTCCAAACTCCTCTCATTGGAATGATTCCTACACATTATCACATTACTATATGTCTCCAAAAGATTTCTGGTAAATATGCATGTTTCTTAGCAAAGTGGTAACACAGTGGGAGTCATGAGCAGCTAAGCTTATGTGCAAAATCCCAAAGGGAAGGGGCTATAAGGGAGTTGTGGCAGGAGTAAAAGCTTAATCTAAAATCTAATGTAGGAATGTTTTGGCTCAAACCACTGCTGACCACTACTGAAAAAAACACGAAGACAGGATATTTTCATAGAGGAGCCACCACAAAAGCAGTACCCCGATTTTCAGCACTAATCATCAGATCACAGATAACCAGCCTGTTCCATTAATTTGCATAAACATTCAGAGGGTACCACTGACACAAATATTTAGGGAAGGCCTTAACTGAGTCAGGTGCTATGCTGGGCACACCACTGGTTCAACATATGGACGACTTTTCCTGTTAGCACATAAGCATGACATCATAAGAAACCAGCATGCCAGTTTTGCCCAATGACCTGAAGAAAAAAGAGTGTTCTTGGCAGCATACTTTTGATCTAAGGGATCTGAGTTTCTCCAAACAGCAATAAAAATACCCTTTTGAGAAGCTTTTCCTGACAAGAACCACTCATTCTGTTATTCTCCTCCCTAACAGATGCTTTAGAAAAGGAGAGATTGCTTTAGCCCCCCTTCTCCACAGGATCTAGGGAAATAGAAATATTAAGGGGTTAAAGACAGGAAAGAAAAGTACACCCTCCTAGTGATGATGATCCTATAGAAAGAGTCAACGCACTGCCATTTAGAAGCCCCCAAAGGAAATGTAATTTAGCATAATTGACTTTCTGCATTCAGACATTTTTATTGGGTCGAATAAAGTATTTTTTAGAGAAGCCAAAAAACTTTCAAATTTTAAAATATTTGGCACCCTCTGAATGTTTATGCAAATTAATGGAACAAGCTGGTTATCTGTGATCTGACGATTAGTGTTGAAAGTCAATGTACAACTTATGTGATGGCTCCTCTATTAAAATTCAAAAGTTTCTTGGCAAATCCCGAAACAGTAGCCAGTAGGTATCAGGGGAACATAAAAAGAATGCCCCTGACTTTGACCTATAAAATGCTGAATGTTTCAATGCATGCTTATGAACATTTATGTGTGTGTGTATTGATTTCAGTGCTTACTGAGTAAGCATCATCACTGTCCTTTCTGTCATTGCTTTTGAGATCAAGGAAAATGGTTCAGAAAGATAACTAAATGTAAACACTTAGCTGAAAGTATTAAAGCAATAAAGAAGTTGGTAAATATCTCGTTCTCAAGAAAAATAGTCTAATTGGGAACATATTACATAGACCAAAAAAATGTGTCAAGAAATAATACTCAAAGTACCAAATAAATATGGTAGAGAAATAACTACTGTGCGGTGCTAGTGAAGTCAAACCCACTGAAGACTGAAGTAGTTAGGTAAGAATAATGGAAGAGGCAGGACTTGGAAATGAGTAAAGAAATACATTCTGAATGAATGAAAATTTTAAAGGAGCAAATTTGGCAAGAGGGGTGATGGTTGAACATTCAAGGAAGAACAGCTTCCTTTAATATATGAAGAAAAGTGTGGTCAGAGGGAACACAGAATTTATTAAGGGGTTTAAGGGGTATAAATGTGGAGGTGTTGTTTGAAATTAAACTATAGAGGTCATAAAGGAAGGTGATCACTACCCAATAGGAAAGATGGGGTTTTTAAGGGATGGTGACACTGACAGAGAAGGCCTTCGTATGATAAAATTGATAATGTGTGGGGAGATGAGGGCTGAAATATGATAGAAATGTCAGAAGGACTTACAGTGACTTCTTGAATAACTAGATATGGGGAAAGAATTATTACAGTAGTACTTTCTTCAGGGAGATTAAAAAATAAGAACATAGAAATAATTTAAAAGTGCTATATTAAGATGGGCTAGCATGGTATATTAGAGGGACATAGAATCCTAAGCAAATGGAGTTACTTGGAGGTATTTTCCAAAGCAGCAGCATTTTTGGCTGCAGCAAGATGGATTCTCCTGATGGGAAGAAACGAAATAAATGTTTCCTTTGCCCATTGTTCTAAGATTGATGTTTTGGAAGACAAAATTGTTATATTCTTCCAAGGACCCAAAGTATCCAGAAAATCGTAAGATATCTACAGAAGATTTATAGGTTTTTTTCCATTAAATGTTAAAAAATATGAGATTAACTTGATTCTTAAAAGTCAACTCTGTAAGCAACTGGCTGTACACTAAGCCCATGGGAAACAGGTTACACAAATGCCATCATCATGGTCATCAATTTGGGGCATTAGTTATGTGTAGGACACCTTTTAGACACTCGAGGCATAAAGATATAATGTGTATAGCAGAAACCCTAAGCTAAATAACCATATCAAAATATTGTTATTTGACTAAACAAATCATAATTCCTAAATGTGCTGGTTATAGGTCATAAGTGATAATACTTTTATTGCTATGTCATCGCATATTAACCCAATTAAAAACACCAGTGCTTACTCTTAAAGATTGTGGCATTATTTAGATAGAGGTAATGAGAGGGCAAGAATTAACTACAGACAAATGTTAATAAAAATATACTAGAGTAGGGCCGGGCGCGGTGGCTCAAGCCTGTAATCCCAGCACTTTGGGAGGCCGAGACGGGTGGGCACGAGGTTAAGAGATCGAGACCATTATGGTCAACATGGTGAAACCCTGTCTCTACTAAAAATACAAAAAATTAGCTGGGGGCAAGGTGGCACGTGCCTGTAATCCCAGCTACTCGGGAGGCTGAGGCAGGAGAATTGCCTGAACCCAGGAGGCGGGGGTTGCGGTGAGCCGAGATCGGCCATTGCACTCCAGCCTGGGTAACAAGAGCGAAACTCTGTCTCAAAAAAAAAAAAAATAAAAAATAAAAAATACTAGAGTAGTGTAGTGATAGCAGAAAGATGGTGGACTAGGAAGTTCCAGGTCCTTGTTCCTTCATTGAAACACAGAGTAAACAACATATTAACCACAATAGCTTTATGGAAATATTAGAAACAGAGGTTTGCAGCAAACAAGATAATGTCCATCAAGAGAAAGCCACACTCAACATGGTAGAAAATGTGGGGCCATTTTTGCTCACTCGTGTCCCACCCCCTCCCTGGCATATTCAGGAGGGAAGCCACTCAATTCCTAGTGTTACAGAAAAAAACAGGTTCTTGTCACACGACCAGGAAAATTTAGACATGCTGATGCATTGTAGGGTGAGTAGGGCAGGATGTACTGGATGAAAAGCAAAAAGGAAAGAGGAACTCTCAGGGAAGCATAGAGAGTCCTGCTATCAGGTTTCCTGCTTCACCGATTGAATCCCAGGTCACTACACAGGAACCTGGGTCCATCCCAAATCTTATCACTTATGACCTATAACCAGCACATTTAGGAATTATGATTTGTTTATTCAAATGACAAGGCCAGGCTCCATCCCAACTTCCCAGTGTGCAGGTGGGAATTATTCAGAAACAATCAGTTGGGAAAGTATGGATGTCATCTGGGACCAGTAGTCCAGTTTTTCAGCTTTCAGACTGTTTTATGCTTGAAGTAGGGGTTTTGCCAGGGACCTTTGGCTGTCTCCTGTCTCTATCACGAGTTCCTCCCTTACAATGGAAGAAAAAGCCTAGAACTTCTGACTTGTCTTGTGCTTTCCTAAAGGAATAGTTTCTTTCTCCCCTAACTCAGAGAGTAGGTGGGAATGATGATACAGTTTGAAAATCAGGTTAGAGGCTATTGAAAGCAGTGATAAGCACAACAACACATTAAAGCTTTGGGGAACTCCAGACCTATGGGGTCCTGAAGGTAACAGAGTAGAGGCTGAAGAATACAGTAGAATACTTAAGGTCCTGACAAGAACCAGAAGTAAGACTCCTAAGGAAAATAAGATATTTAAAAGCAGCTATGTATACAGGAACTTGTGGGAAAGGAGAACACACAGAGGCTCAATAAATACATATGTTTAAGAATGGCCTGAAAAGCCGTAAGCTTTCATACCATGCTGAGCCAATCCATAAAACTGGCACAGGTAGCTGTTTTTTCAAATGTCCAAGCATATGTGTCTACAAGAGATGCACTTTGGATCTTAGGAACTGCATTAGATTGAAAATGAAATTACAAGATATTCCATAGAAATAGTAACCAAAAGGGAACGGGCGGCCTTATTAATATCAGACAAAATAGACTTTAAGTCAAAACTGTTACAAAGGACAAATAAGGGCACTATATAATAATAAAAGTGTCCCGGCACCAAGAAAATGTCATCGTAATAAGGATAAATGCACTTGTTCTCACGCACATGCAATAGCTAAAAGAGTTGACCTCACAGAAGTTGAGAGTAGAATAGTGGTTACTAGAGGTTAGAAAAGGTGGGTAAGAAAGGAGAATAGGGAGGGATGGTTAAAGGATACAAAATTACAGCTAGATAGAAGAAATAAGTTCTAGTGTTTTACAGCGCTGTAGGGAAACTATGGTCAATTTTCAAAGTTTGAAGAAATTCTGATTGTTCCCAACACATATAAGTGTTTGAGGTGACAGATATGCTGATTACTCTGATTTCATCA